TGGCTGCTTATGAATGTTAGTTAATCTTGATTGTCAACTTGATTAGGTTGAGAAGAAATTAAAGCAGTAAAACCAACATGGGGGTAGGACTGCCATGGAGGGGGGAGGCTTCCTAAAAGTATTAACTAAAGGGGAGAGATTGTCTTGGTTAGCATTAACTGCCAACTTGACAAAATCTAGAATTATCCGGGAAGAAAGTCTCAACCGAGTAGTTATGTAGTCAGACTGGCCTGTGGCACACATCTGTGGGGAGATTGATTTTTCATTTATGCAGGAGGGCCTGTTCCACTGTGGGTGACACCATTCCCAATGCAGCTGGTCCGGAACTATATAAGAAAGGCAGCTAAGCATTTGCTGCCAGACACCAAGGTATATCTTTTGTGGTCCGTGTTGCACTTCTTTAGCTGTGAAATGAGTTCCTTGCTGTGTGGAGTAGTGAGTGTTCCTGGTTTGAGTTCCTGCCCTAAGAGTTTCTGTCTTGACTCACCTCAAGGACAGACTGTGACTGTAAGTCACAGACTGAAACTGCAAGTCTAATAAACCTTTTTTCCCTCAAGGATGCTTTAAGTTAGGGTATTTGTGACAACATCAGGAATAGAATTCTTCATGCTGAGGGACCTAGGTGGAATAACAGGAAAAAAGGAGGAAGTCGGTGAGTGTAGGCAAAATCAGTCCTAATTCCCTGGCTACCATGGGGTGAGCTACACTGGCCTGCCATGTCCTCCTACTAAGCACTCTGAAACCCTGGGCCAAAATAAATCTTTCTTCTTATCTGGTTTGCTCATATATGTAAAAAGTGAGGGACATTACAGTGTTTGGGGTTTCTTCCTTGGGTGATATAAACATTCTGGGGGTAGTTACTGATGATCTGTGCACACTTTTAAAGATAAAAATTATAAAATTACACACCTTAGGAGAATGAACGCCATGTTATATGTTAGTGAAACTGTTCTTTTACAAATCATGAAATGAGGGGATGGGTTCAGGCACTTAGTCGTGGGATGTAAATTCTCCACAGACTTTTCGTTGTGTTCATGAATACTTGCCAGGGCATCTGCTGTTCTCATTGCCTAGTGCCCTTCTCTCTACCCTCCTGTCTGCCTATATCTTATGCTTCCATTATAGCTGGAATACAAACTTTGCCCCTCTCCTGTCTGTGTCTAGGACCCTTACGGAGGACTGCACTCAGCTCCCCATCAAATAATTCAGCCAGGAACTGGTGCTTGTGAAAGTGCACTTAAGATGCATCATTGGAAAGAGGAAGTCTAATGGACACGTTAATTAGCCATTCTCTTTGGAACTCCAGGCTCTATCACAGAAATAAGTTATATCATCAGAACAATGTCCCTGGGCCACATGACCTATCTGGGCACAGACATTCTGGTGATGATTTATGTTGTAATATTATATTCTCTGCTTTTATAGAGGGTCTATACAAGAAATAACCATCTGAATGGCTTATTCGTGTCTTCTGAAAACTGTAATAGGAGAGTTTTTCCATTATATTACCCAATGACCTTTATGTAAAGGCCCAGATGATAAATCCCTCTTTGTTTCCAGGAAGAAAGTTTGCTTAGCAAGTAAGTCACATGAGTCTTCCCTCAATTTGTTTTCCTTTCCCTCCCCTCCCCTTTTCCACCCTTCCTTCCCCTCTATAGTAGAGACCATCTAACACAAGAAAAACAGCCCAAGTGTATCGGGCATGTGCTAGGGCCCGTCAATCATGTGTCATGTCAGTTGACTGACCATCACCACATCCTATGAATACACTGTTGTTGCCCTTCCTTCGCTTCTATACAAACTGAGGCTGAATGAGAATGAATGACATTTCCAGCCTGGCACACCTTGTACAAGGTAGAGCTGGAATGGCCTGACCCTAGACGGCATGGTTGGTCTAGCTTCTGCATTCCTCCAGGGGTGGTTCCTCCCTGAGTTTCATTTCCTCAGTCATCTGCAGACCTTTTGAATTAAGGAAGCGTACACACTAAATCCATGTTTGCTTTATTTCCCACATCTCCTAGCTGAAAATGCTCAATAAATAATTTTGATTGATTCATTCTTCCAAGTTCTGAGAGCCTTGAAAGAACGACCCTTCATAAATCTTGGCCGTTGTTTTTATTAATGATGCAAGCAAGGTAATCGTACAGGTTGGGGCTGAGAAGGACAGAATTGAAAGTAAGAATAATTCATTTTATATTTTAGATTAGGTGCCTAGAAGGCTCCGAGTACATTCTATGGTCTGGGGGTCTCTGGGTGCTCTCACATTGCTGGTGTGGGTTTAATCATCTTGCCTGGTGTGTGTTTCCATACAGTGACAGGCACTCCTTGGTCCTCTCCTCAGCACATTGACTCTGACACACTTGGAGAAAAGACCTTTCCTCAGCTACCATGACTCAGCCAGTACTTGGAGCTGCCTGTTTGCAAACACACATTCATAAAGCAAGTCAGCTTGGAGACCTCTGAAATTCATTTATTAAAATTTCTTTTATTTTCTACCATTGGCCCCCCCTTCCCCTATTGATTGGTGTATATGGATCAGACATCTAGCTCTTAAATGGAGGAAAAATGAAGGGCCAGGGGAGCTCCAAGATTTTCATCTGTAAGCTCCCTGTCTTGGAGCCAGAAATGATGTATCCTTTTATTAGTCCCTGTATTTCCCCAGAGTCTTCTATTTTAAATTTCTGAATACGACAGGGAGATGAGACATGCTTTCTAAAGGCATTCTCAGAAGTGCGGTCCCTGGATTGCTAGCAGCAGCATTGCCCCGGAAGATTGTTAGACATGCAGAGTTTGGGCCTGGATATTGTGAATTGGGAGAAGTATAGTGGAAATAGTGACAGCTTCACACCACTGCACTGAAGGTGCTCCTGTGAAAATCACATCTATTCTTTGGTGAATGGCAAATGCCAACATGGTACCTTCAGTGGAAGCTCTGCATTTTCTCTTTTCTATTTCTGAAATGGGATCGGGGTGGGGGGGATGTCTGGAGATCCAGGCCATGCTCCCATAGTTCTAGAAGAGTCACAACTATGTTGTGGGTGTTTTTTTAAGGGGTTAGTTTTTACTCCTTTCGTGTTCTCACAGTGCTCCATCTAATTCTACTGGAGAGGGAACCCTTCCTGTTTAAGTACCCTACACAAAGTCCCTGCATACACAACCATATCAGCATGCTTTGTAGGGGCTTGAAAGTCCTAAGCTTAGTGTAGAGCCTGGTAACTAATAGAGGGAGAATGTATCAAAATGAATAGCATAGACTGGCTGGTTGAGTTTGAGTTCCGGTGACTTGAGGGGGAGGGCATGTGTATTCTGAAAGTAGACAAGTGTAGAAGGAAAGAATGTTGGGAGGTAAATGTTCAGGTCAGGAGAGCACAGACGAAGCAGTTGGGTTGAAGGTAAGAAGACAGACATGAAGATCATTTCGACTGTAAATAGGGGTTCCAAGATGCAAACATAGATTGGCTTGACTCCTGGGCCCCACCATCTTCTCTGCCTCCATGATCTTCCCACGGCCAAAGGACAACTTAAGGAAGGACTCTTGGAACCTGTGCAGAAAACCCAACTCCCCCTTCCATAAGGGAGCAAACTGAGTCTCAAAGATGTAGAAAATCTTAGCTTAATTGCAAGACTGACAGGTGGCAGGACCACAATTAGAAGCAAGAAGAGAGTATGAGTAGTCCTGGCAGACTACCCAGAGTTCCTAGCCTGTCTTTCCTCCTTCACATGTCTAAGGCCTCATGTAGAGGGAATGAGGCTGTGCAAGGGATGAAAGCTGGTTTACTATTGGGTGAGACACCAAAAACGCTTGGTGCTTATTTTTTACATTAAAGACAGCCTACACCAGGCTCTCACTTCATGATTCTTTGGCTACTGCCCAGATCTAGTCCAAGGTGACAGCCCAAGGTTTTCAGTGCTAGAGGCAGCCAATGCTTCTAGCCTTCACAAGAAGGATATGATGCAGACTCCTGGAGACTTTAGTGATATTCAAAGTACATAGTTTACAGAAAATACGACTATCAAGGAATTCAAGGCAAGATATTGTAATTCAGCATAATGAGCTGGTCTGGTCATCAAGAGACTAGCAAGGCCATTGCTCTATCTATGTCCTTCATGGAAATTTGTCTACTCTTTGCTTAATTCTTCCCAGGGATAGAAACCTATTATTGCTTCCTCGAACCAATAACAGGGAATAACACCGACATATTACCCTCTCTTAGCGGTCTCCTTCTTGGAAAATTGTTTTCCTTTGTCTGTTTCCACACCTCCAAGTCCTGAACTGGGCCTTGCTCACCTCTAAGACTGAGATGACATTTACTGGCAGAGAGAAGCCAAAGAAGGAAAGACAACACAGTAGTGTCTACCTCTGCTGACGAATACAAACCAGGCAGGCTCTTCACTCTCTCCAGCTCCCTTTGCCTCTTGCCCTTTATGTCAGTAATGATTGGATTGGGCTGGCCTCTACAGAACTTCCTACTCCAAGAGTGTACTCCCCTAGCTTTGCATTGGGTTAATTTGTAAGACTTACTTCTCCCAAGGGATATTTTAGCTCCCATGAGGAACATAATGACAAAAGGAGCCTTCTCTTGAAATTCAGGACAAATTATGGACTTTATGATGAAATTATGGACTTTAGGGCAGAACTTCATGTAGACAGAATATTTTATCTCCTCCCAAGGCAGCTCTGCTTATCATGAACCACTATTTTCATACTTTTGAGAAGAAGCCAAAGACAGGATCTGAACCATATGTGATACCCAATATTGTGAGCTCATTTATGTTTCAGGCAGTTCATCACCGAGTACATTTATGAAGTACAGCATTATATTATTACCAGCAGGTATTAAATATATTATTTAGTATTAGAGGTATTAATCTCAAGCATCAGGGAAGATTAACATTTGATGTATTAGTTCTTTGAGGTTACAATTAAGGCATGAATTCCTGTTATTATCCAGTGCACGGTAGTAACTGAATTGTGATTTAGCTTTAATTCCACAGTGAGTTCACCAATATTGACAAACCAGTACTAATTAATGATAATTCTTTATTTGCAAATGTGTCTGAGAATAGGGGGCTCATTTCTTTAGATTCTCAAAGACTGTACAAGGTAAAATCTTCAACAATGGGCATCCTTTTCTTAAAAAAAAATTTCACAACCTAGTTTTGTGAAAAACTCTATGAATAACTAAGCTTTAAAGGCAGCCTTTAAAGCTTCCTCTTAAGCAGAGGTTCCCAACCTTTCTAAGGATGTGGCCCTTTAATACGGTTCCTCGTGTTGTGGTAATCCCCAAGCATAAAATAATTCCATGGCTACTGCATGACTGTAAATTTTCAGCTGTTATAAATTGTAATGTAAATATCTGATATACAGGATTTCCCCACAGGTTAAGAACCCCTGGTCTGAAGTGGCCTTGCTCACCTGCTATGCCCCTCCCTTATTTCTTTCTGTCTTCTAGGAACAAAATCTTTGGTCTGCTGCTTTAATCCAAACCCTTCCAACCAGGCACTCCATAAGACTCCATCCCAGCTCCAAAACAAATGAGTAGGCAAACTAGTCAAATGTCTACTCTTAAATTTAGTGTTTACCCAGATGTCCATCATTGTTTCTTGTACCTGAGATCATAGGGACACTGATAAAGCGTAGGACTTTTGGATGCAACTGACACACTCACCTTTATAGTTTAAAGCTTTCAGCAGGCAAGGAATAAAATCTCTGTAATAGGTACATTCCTGAAACCATAACATCTCACACTATCAGACTATCAGAGATTCCCAACACGTCCTTCATCTCTCAAATAAGAACATTTTTGCTCGCAACACTGTAGCCTATTTTGATGGCTGTTTCAGGGGCTTAGGGCTGAGGTCTCCCCACCCTCAGCACAATGGTGGGACTGACCCAAGGGAAACCTATATCTCTGTATGCTCATTCACTTCCTACAGAGGAAATCGTGCTTCTCTGCTAGGGCTCCACACTGTTAACTTCACGCACAAAAGATTCCCAATTTCTGTCTTCCCACTCTGAGTTCTGCTATGCACAGCGGCTGACAATTTGCCACATAAAAAGTGTGCCCGTAATTTATGAGTGGAAGGTTCTGTCCACCCACTCGTACAGCATGTAGACAGGAACTTTTGGAGTGCTAAAAGCAGACTCCACTGTCTGCCTTATGCCTTTCAAAGCCGGTCGTTGGCATATATCAAAACCTCCCTGACATTAGCAACCCTCTTCTCTCTAAGAGTACCCTCCTCTGGTACTTCTCAGAACTCTCATTGATGAAGATGTCATCTGCTGGTTCTATTTCCCTCAGCTGAGAAGCTTGGTATAAACCCCACAGAGCAAGAAGTGGTTTGAGCTAAGACTAGACAGCATATAGCTGTATTCACCCCCAATAATCCCAGCACTCTGGATTCCTACCCTTAAAGCTTTTAGGGGAAGTTGTGAAGATGTGCCTCAGGCCACTTACCTACCATGGATTTTTGCTGTTGTTGCTGTAATTGAAAGATGCTATAATAATTAAATATAGCATCATATTCTTCTATATGCAACAATGAGCATAAAAGACTCTTTCTTGGACAGATGGGACTACCTTGTCATTGCCTCTCACATCATCTTCCACCAGCCAACATGCACCACAGCTACAGAATGAGACAGTATTTCTGTGGTGATTTGCTCTGAATAAAAATGGGGTGGTTGTACTGACACATTGCACTGAGGACGTGAAGCATGTAGAAAGAGAAATCGTTCTGTACATAATATGCTGTGGGTAATCCCCTACTGCTGTGAGGGGTTGCTGGGCAGAGAGGCATGCATCATCTGTCCAGAATGTGGAGGTTGGCAGAATGGAGGAGACCAAATACCACATTTGCATCTGTGTCAGCTGCCGTGAAGGGTGATCCTAGACCATCAGATGTGGAACACAGGAAAGCCTCCGGATGTCCACAGGAGCACTGGCAACATGGAGCCCCTCTCAGAAGCTTTCAGCCTTAAGGCTGCAGCTTTTCTGAGAGCAAGAACTTTCAATCCTCTGACATGATAAAAGGATATCCTGGTGCCAGGGCCTGTGCTGACACTCTCTCTTCTCTCTCTCTCTCTTTTTCTCCCGCCCCCAGGGTCCATCAACCACCCTCCCACATGGCAATGTGCATCATCAGTGCTCACCCCCTCACAGACACAGGATGACAACAACAGCAACAATAATAAGCATCCACGCAACCCGAGGAACTATGGTTCTCTTTTCGCTTTCATTTTCCCACTTAAAAAGGATCTTTAAAAGGTGTTAAACCAAGTAAAATTTTACTCAGAGGCTCATGTAACTGGAGCAAGGCTGACAAGAAAAACAATCACAAAATAAATATTTTTTGTTTTGTTGTTTTTTTTTTTTAAAAAAAGAACATTTCCATATACATTGTCTCTCTAACTTGACAAAACTGCTTCCTTGGACAGATAGGTGCTGTGGGAAGAGGGCTCTGGATGAACTGGGAGGGGCTCTTGGAACAAGTCAAAACTCTGAAACTGGGGAGGCCAAGGCAGTGAGGGGGCTGGCAGGAGGAAGAAGTAAGGGAGTGAGCGAGGAGGCTGCGGCCTGCCCCTAGCGGTGGTTTCTCTGCTGTAGCACTGCATACGCTTTCTGAGTGGCACCACAAGCAGCCGACCCCAGGCCCCCAGGGTACAGGGAGGCAGTGTACAAAAAGTAAGAACCAATGCAGGGAGTCACGGAACAACGACATTTTAAGAAATCTGGTTAAAAAGAATACAAAAGTGACTCCACAGAGGGGAGATATCCCGACCCTCCCACTTTTGTCCCCTCTCGCTATCCTGGATGACAAGCATCACACTGACGCGTTCTCACTCGTTTCTTTCATGACTGAATGGGTTCTTTTGATCTCCTCCTTGGCTCTTCTTCAAATGCATTCATTTCAGAGAGCACCGGCTTTACAGATACGAGGCTGCCGAGCTGTGGCCTCCCTGTGAGTGTGTGTGGTGGGGGACTGTGTGCGCGTGCGCGGTGGCTGTTTCATTGTCTCTCGCCTGCTTCAGTCCAAGCCTTGAGCTCCCATCTCCCAGGTGCTGGAGGTCATGGAAGCACCCTGTTGGCACTGAGGTGAGGGCTCGGATTATCTTTTGCACCCTGAATGTGTGGAGCAACTGTCTGACCAGCGCCAGGGTAGTCTCCCATTAGCTGCAGAGTTTGCCTGTCTCATACTCCACGGGATTTGGCAGCTTGGAATTGAAAGCTCTCAGGGAGGACTGTATCCTGCCGACTTCGTTGTTGGCCAGCTTGAGCCTGTGCCGGAGCAAGCAGGAGAAGAGGTCAAGCCGGACTTTGCCTGGCGGAGAGAGCTGGTTCACACGGTCTCTAAGCTCAATGAGTTGTAAGAGCGCAGAGTCCTGGGAACCCTGAGTGTACGGGTAGTCCAGCTGGAGGATTAAGTCTCGGATAGCGTCCGGGTCAAAGGGCAGGCTGTAGCCAAAGACCTGCAAGGTGTTGATTTTCATGTAGCCCAAATTCTTGGAGGGATCGGTCATCTCTAGGGGCTCATAGTAGATTGTCTCATTGGAGCTGTCATCCAGGGACTTGATTCGGCTCCGTAGGTAAACATGGACTGTCTCGAAAAAAGTTTTCCACCTGTTCCCCAAAGTGATAGTCCAGTTTTGGCACTGAGCAGCTGCATCCACGTTAGTCCTTTCCCAGTCTGGAAAGCTGCCCTCGTTGACCGGCATGAACCAGCTCTCAGAGTGGCTTCCCCCAAAGGGGTTGACGTAGATGGCCATGACAGGCTCCAGGGTGCTGTTCTTAGTGAGGCAGATCTGCAGGGACAAGGCCAACATCACATGCACCAGCCCGGGCTTGTACTTGTTGCTCTTCAGGGTGAGCAGCATCCGCTTCCTCCAGGAAGGGTCAAACCAGCTGCCCAGACGCATGTCATTGCTGATGAAGATGGAGTGTACCTCGATGCGGCTGTCTCGCTTCTGCAGCAGGTACTTCAGCTCTAGGTCCTGCAGGTCTGTTTCCAGTCCCAGAAAGTTCTCCAGGGACTCAGCTACCTCTGGCCGGCACAGTCCCTGGGCCAGCACGTAACCAGGGTTACAGCTCCCACAGCGAGTGCTGTTGTCGGAAGCGCAGTGGGCACATGCAGGCCCTTCGCCCAAGGCACATGGGATGGGGCCCTGGCAGGAAGATTGGTCATAGGGGCAGGTGCAGCTGTGGCTCTGCTCCAGGAAGGTCCCAGGGAAGGTGCTTTCTCCACAGTAGAGGAGAGACTGGATTCTGTTCCACCAGAAAGACAAAGATCTTGAGGAGATAAAATGAAGAAGCAAGAGTCAAAAGAAGATCCACACCGCTGTCCTCCCTAAGAGTGTCAGGGCACTGACTCATGGTGGGGCTTGGGGGAGAAGACAAGGAAAAGATCAAAGCCACAAGTTCGCTGAGTGATGGAAACCCTCCTGCTCTATTTTGAACCAACTGAGTTAAGCCCGGAACTATGCATCTGGCGGACCAGCCAGAAGTGTTTGACATCAGCCTTGTCCTGGAAACAGCCAGGCTAATTTTGTTCACATCATTTTTCTGTCCCCCTCTTTTCAGATCTGGAGGCTTTTCAGCATCTCGTATCAAAGCTAGTTCTTCAGGCTTCCCTATAGCATGGCTCATCAAATATTTTATATTCTCGCCAAGTTCATGCCCACCTCAAGGTCTCTCCTTATTTTCTGTCTTTTCGTTCTTACAGTAAGACTTAGAATTTTTTTTTGTGGATTACTCAGACTTCGGATTTCAGCTCTTAGCTACCTGCTCAAATAGGCTGTTCCCAGTGTTTCTTTGAAGGGACAGCTCCAGGCACTGTCTCATCACTATGTCCCTGCTTAGTCTGTGGCAGCTCTCTGTACATAAAATTGCTATTGGTTTATTGAGCACTTATTTGTAGCTGGTTTCTCTGGAAGCTCTGTGCTGTCAACTGCGACATTCTCAGAGAGCATGTTTGTTTCCTGTGCACAATGGGAATTTAGTAACTAGCTACTGAAAAAAAAATAATCTTAATAGCCCCAGCTGGCCTGTCTCATCTACTCCCATTCTGCCATCCCTGTGGCTCAGAGTGACATGGCTGGGCTGCTGTGAGAGGGGGCTGCCCTGCCTGGAATATCTTCTCACCTGTACAGTCCAGGCATTTCTACCTTATCTTGCACAAGCTGCCCAAGACTTCCTTCTCTTATGGGTTTTTTCTCTCCAGCCTCTCCTGCTTGGATAATTGTATTGTTTTCATGTTTGTTTTTAATTTATATCTTTTGATTTGTGGATGCCCCATTAACTTCAGTGCCTGCTACAGTCAGGATTTTTTAATTTTTTATCTCTTTATATGTTTGTTAAATATTTCTCTGTCAGTGGTGTCTTCTATGGCTAAAAAGCAGGGCGTAGAGTACAGGATTAGAACATTTTTAAAGAACACATGTATGATTGAGTGAATGAATGAATGAAAGAATGAATGAATGAGTGAATCCTATCATACTACACTCCCAGCTTATTGGGAGAGTCTGAGTCTTAGCTTTCTTCCCTCCTATGACTCAGGCAAGTGATGAGAGTCATTTTTTTGGAATAATCTAATGGGCTTGTTTCTCATTTGATAAATGAGCATATCCTATATGATATATTTCTGCAATTAATATATGATCTTGAACTCATCTTTTTCATCACTAGAAGACTTATGAAACTGGAAAGGAATAAGTGAGACTTGAAGTATTATTAGAATAGTATTTGAATCTACTATAGTTTATATACAAGCAACACAAGGTTCTCTTAACTTCTCCATACACAGCCAATGATTGAAAGTGACAAGTGGGGAGGAGAAGATTAAAGAGCCAGAATGATTGAATATGTCACTACTCTCTGTTCCTCCCTGCTGACCACAGCATCCTTCCTGGCCTCAGGTGGTACTGGGCTTGCTCAGGATCTGAAGCCTGGGTGCTCACCTCTCCTTGGGCAGGCGGAAACGAGGCTGCCGATGACAGCGCTTGCAGAGATTGAAGAGGCGACGAACGATGCGGTGCATCTTCTTTAACAGGACTTTCAAGCTGGCTCCCAGCTGCTGGTAGCGGTGCTGGAGGTTAGTGTCCATGGTCCAGTACTGGGAGATGGCTGTGGAATTCAGGAATCGGTCACTGGGTAGCCTCTTCAGCAGGGCCTGGAATTCTTCTGTGGGCAAAAGTAGTAGAGGATCTGAGCAGAACAAAGCTAGTAGAATCCTGAGAACATGATTGCTCATTCCTCAGGTCCAGGGACCCCTCAGAGTTACCACCCAAGAAAGATGCCTCACATCCACTGCTCCAGGTTTTTGAAGTATGCATGGCTGTCTTGAAAATCAACTAGTGTATCAGAAAATACAGCTCCGGGATTCTATTTTTTTTTTAACTTCTATTCCCATGTCTGTGCTACATGTGTGCAGATGTCCACAGAGATCAAAAAGAAGGGGTCCAATCTAAAGTTAGAATTAGAGGTGGTTGTGAACAACCTGACATGGCTTCAAGGAACCAAACTGAGGTCATCTGGAAGAGCAGTACATGCTCTTAACTACTGAGCTTCTCTCCAGACCCAGCTGCAAAGGTTTTTTGTTGTTGTTGCTATTATTCCAGTCAGTCTTTGATTTTCAAAACAGATCTCTGACACTCCTAAAGTGGCTAGAAGTCCTGCTTTTACTAACAGTGTTGGGATGCGTCCCTTTTTCTTCTACTTTTCTATAGAACAACTATCAACTATCTTTTTTTTTCCCCTCTCATAATATATCCTGATTACAGATCCACCCCTCAGACTCCTTCCAGTTCCCCCCCCCTTCCCTTCCATTCCAATCCACTCCCTTTCTGTTTGTCTTAGGCCAAGTCTCTTCTATAACACCTGGCCTCTCCAGTGAAAGAGGCTCAATGGCAGACAAACATAGGCTCAGAAATCTTAAGGACATTTAAGGACCTTGAGCTTAGCCTTGCCCTCTACAACTGACTCTCTGATTCTCTAAGATACTCTCGCTCTCTAAGGCGCATGGTGGCATAGGCATTCTCCCCCGTAGCTAATAGAGATGCAACTTGGTTTCTGCCTCTGAGCTTCAGGTGTAAGTTCTTCTGAATGCCCTGGGCATAGTTCACTTCTGGAACTCATGCTCACGGGGATCTCTTCTCTGCTTTAGCTTGGGACCTGCCACCACCTGACCACCAGTCAGAGGTCTATGATGTTCTCAGTTATCTCCCACCCCCGACCCCACCCCATAGTAACTCACAGTGGTGAAAGCTGAGTTGTGTTGTATGTAAAACATTGCCCAAAGCACAGGATGGGGACTGGGACTTGATTGTTTTTTTAAATACTTGCATCAACCTCTTGCTATCACTCTTTTTTTTTTTTAATTTAAATATGAAACTATTATAGCACTATTTAACTATTTAACCATGAGGAACTGCATGGTTAAACCAAAGTGGGAATGTTGGTCAGTAATAGGACAAGAAGCAAAACTAACCCCTGAGACTCCAGGTCTTAGGCTGACCTTGACAATTGGTTTACACAGGGATACAACAGTTGGTTTACAATCCAACTAAAACCGTTCTGTATAGACTTCATGTGCAAGCATTTTAGTAGACAACATGAAATCAGTAGCCAAAAGACTGACAAAAATCTATGCTTTCCATAATACTTAGCTTAGCTTTTTAAGTCCTTAACACACACTTCTAAGTTAGGCGCTATGATTATTTGTATAAAGAAAAACACACCACTTCAGACTCTTAGTAAGTTGGGATCCAAGTCAGATTCCTCATGTTCTGGCCCTGTACCCTCACAGTCCTCTTCAGTAGGGGAAAAATTCTGAGCTAGTTGGCCTGCTTACCTGACTCTTCAAACTGTCTGTTGTGCGTGGCCCAGGAGTCTTGGATCTGCAGCAGGCTGTCTTCCATAGCCTGGATATCAGCATCAGGACAGTTGCATTCTGGGAAAGTGGGGCTGCACTTGCACCAGCAGTCATTCTCCCTGCAGACAAGCTCGCCCTCAGAGCTACACGTGATGTAGCTAAGTGCGGCAGCCACGAACCGCTCACGCAGGTGTTCAGGAAGCAGCACCTGCAGGCCTGAAGAAAGGGTGAATCAAGGAATCACTGAGAAGAACCAGTGGGGACTCGGGTTTCTCAGACCCAAGGCTTTACGAATCCAAACAGGGGTTTTGCTGAGTAGGCCTGAGAATGGTCACCCCAGGGTCTGATCCTGCTGAGCCGGTTAAAGAGAGGGCTTTCCTAGTCCCTATGACAGATGTGGGATGATTTGAGTATGCAGATGAGGAGCATCAAAGCCCAAGGCTTAGCCAAACTCCTCACATCAGCCAAATTGAGAGCCTGCATATCATAAGAACTGGTTTAATGGATACACGTCAGCATTTCTAAGAGAAAAAACAGGAAGATGTGTCAGATAAAATAAGCTTAAAGCCCTCATGGGGAAGACTTTGAGGCTCAAGGAGCTTGCTCTGACTCCACTAGCCATCCTGCTTACAGTTTCACTAAAGTTGGGAGTAGGTATGCTTGGACATTACTAAATGCTAACCCTTTTCCAGCCTGGGTCCCTGAAAATGTCTGGTTGCAAGATAGGGATGGGCTCTACTAGTATACAGTGTCTGGCTACCAAGCCAACTACTTTCTATATGTAATTGGTAGTAGCTTTCAGGATCATCTCCACCCTAAAAGGGCTGTGTTGTTGTTGTTTTATTTTGTTCCCTAAAACAAGCTGGCTCACATTCCTTATATGGCTGATGATGAACTGAAACTCCTGATCCTCCTGCCTCTGGCCTGCCTAGTGCTGGGATTGCCAGTGTTTGTCACCATGCCTAAAATCACACTGAGGTTTTGTTTGTTTGTTTGTTTACTTGTTTTAGGGTTTTTTGTTTTAATGAGGAAATAAAAGTCAAAAGGCCACAGTGACCAACTCAAGCCACAACTCTAGTGTCAATCACTTCAATCACTGCCTCTTTTCACCAGGTAATACTGCATACTTGGGAACAGCGGCCTAGCTCAGCGTGATTTAACTCTTAAGAAAGTATGATTGCAGTATGGCAGCTTGGGTCTCAAGATTCATCAGGCCATCAGGCTTGGATAGGTACGGGTGACTTTCTCTTCGAGCTGGCCTCTTCCGGTCTTGGAAACAATGCACTGAACTACTTGGAGCTTCAGTTTCTCATCCATCTGAGAAGGATATCCGTTTACAAATAGAAAAGGCCTTGTGCTGCCTTCAAGCCACAGGTAAGGTGGCTACTGGAAGCTTTCAAAGGATGAAGGAAGGATAAATATGGCTTATGGATGGACAGAATGTGGGTCAGATCTTCAGGAGGCTTCTCCTGTAGGGATAGGGTTAGACCTTATGCCGGGGGAATGAGGACAGAAGGACCCTGAGTATGAGGCGCCCCTCTCCTTACACGTAGGCTGACTCTATTTCCACATCCTTGGCCTTGGCCTTGCCGGAAATCAATGAGCTCACAGTTTATGTCCCAGCCTCAGCAGACCTCACACTAGAACTTCAAGTTGTCAGCAGCCGTGGATGTTTTCTTTTCTCACTTGAGGTCCACCTCCTACTCTGAACTGTTACAAAATTTCCCTTTCTTGATCCTGTGCCCACCACGCACTTGACAGTCCCCCCTCAACACACGCACACCCCGTCCACATGCTTGCTTTCAACACTTACCCTTTTCAAGTAGTCCTCCTCCATCTCCCCATCACCTCCCTCCTCCTCACCAGAACATTTCCCATTTCTATAAAGTAAGTGCCTTGAGCAATGTCTGCCTGAGTGATGGGCTATAAAATTAAACAGCATCAACTACTCCAAATGAACCACCAGACATTCTGAGCTTCTTCACTCGCTGCTAATTTCCAGCTACACATCCAGCCTGCACAGGGATGTAGGAGAAGAGAGACAACTAGTGGTGTCGGGTTTCTCTGAGTAGGTCTTCTGCTCCTCTTATTGTATGTTTGTTGATTCCTAAAGCCAGGTTGGTCAAGCTCAGACTGCTTGAAATTTGTAATCGTAGATCCTGGGTGAGGGCTATTGATTTTGTAATGCTGGGATAGTAATATCATAAACAGAGGCCACTTCAGTTAGCTCACATGAAAAACGAGCTTTCCCCGCTGAATCAGTTTGCATAGCTCTTCCCTTAAAACATGTGAGGAACAGAGCTCGAACTGGGTGGGCATCTCCACTTGTCCTCCATTCTTTAAGCCTAGGACAGTAGCTTTGTTTTTCTTTCCTCCTCTGCTCTGTCCATTCTGTCTCCAGTCCAAATGTTCCTGTTCCCTCCTCTCAAAGTCCACTGCTGTCTTTGAAGTTCTCCTGGAGGACCACAGGCAGGAAAATGGAAAGCAAGGGCCACTCTCCTGTTGTGGTTACAGATAATTTGTCCCAGAGTTTGTAGAGCTCTTGTTTGAGCTAGAGTTAGTCGGCTCACAACCACTCTGCAAAGGCCACCTGGTCCTCCGCGTGACCTTGGTAACAAAAGCAATCGCCGAGCTAGTTCCAGGCTTATAAGGTGTGTGTCTGATCACTACAGGATAATAATGCAGGTTTTAAGAAGGGACCTAATGGAAGGATTTAGATACCAAGTGGCAGGAACAATAGTTCATTGGTATGGGGCAAATCCTCAGAAGTTAAAAAAACAAAACAAACAAACAAACAAAAAAAAACTGAAGAAAAGTTGCTACATGCAGGTCCTAGGATTTGTGATGATTCTTGGATTAAGAAGGACTTAACTGAGGTAGGTAAGCATAAACTTAATAACCTGGGACTCTTCTTGTTTGAAATTATATACACACTTCTATTCTAAAAACAACTGGCAGCCTAGGGCTTTTACCTGCATGTGCACCCCCACTTCCCCACACACACCGTACTCCAAACAATGCTAGCACCTGTTAGCAGCCTAGAACTCCCATCTGCAAGAAGCTGAATGCACACCCTGCTCTGAACAATGGCGTGTGTTTTTCTTCTTCTTTAAAACCATCAAAGTTGCATCCTGTTCACTTGTACTCCACTTATGTCCAGGTATGAAGCTGGGCGAACAACGTGGCCTAGACTGCTTTTGAGCGCATGTGCAATAAGGTAAAAGTGTCCCCAAGTGAACTATTCTGGAGAATCCATTATTGATCACCCTACGCCTATGCATAATTGGGTGTGCATTTGGTTAATATCACATGCGTTATGGGAAGGAACGTGCACAGTAGAAAATATGGTTATGGAGTCTAATCTGTGTGTCAAAATAGAGAACCATCTAAACTATGCCTCTAACAAACACTTCCTCCTCCCCTTGAACACCATATAAGGAAGGCCCACACAATTATCTGGGTCCTTGAGTACCTTCACTCATGTACCCTGCTGCCAGTTCTGAAGGTGTATTTCTGAACTGTACTGTTGATTTGCTTTGGATAAAGTTAGTTTGCAAATCCATGTGAGTCCTTATTTCAGCACTATAAATAAGAGGACAAGAGCCTAGACACCCCCATGTAAGACCCCCATCCCTGAGACCATATTCAAATGAGAGAACAAGCTTCCCTTTCTCTTCAGGAATCTGGGTTTTCCACCAAGCCTGAACAAGTGTGAAATCGTCCTGCAACTGCTTACCCAGTAACTGTACTTTGTTCTCTGGACTCTGAACCAGGACAGAGCTGACTGAGTCCAGATTGTCATAGTTGCTGCAGCCCAGTGGACCAGTCCTGGTCTCTGTTACCTAGAGAAGAAGGGACAAGGTAAGTACTCAGAAAACAAGAGGAAGATTTCTCTCTGCCCTTTCCTTTTAGCCGTCTACTTGGAGACTCCATGTCCTGACCCTGACCAAAGGAACTTCTTTTGTCTACTCTTGGACTGTAAAGTACAGTTGTCTCCTTGTCCTGAGTCAGTGAGCATCTGTTCTGTTTGGTTGGTGGCCCAGTGGCACGTGACTGAGAGCCTTGCACAGGGAAGCAAATGAACCAACCAGGAAGCTGGATATGGAGTGAGACCTTTAAGTTGGCATCTGCCCTGTTCCTCATCTAGAGGGAGGCAAAGAGATGGACCCTGTTAGCCTATGAGTGAGGGGTTAGCCAGTTGTATCCTCTTGATGTGGTCCTCACAGGCTTTTAGAGATCCTGAAGATGAAAAGCACTAGAGAAATACAAGTTATAAGTATTATTATTATTATTAAACATTTAAGTTCCACATCAGCACCTAGACATCCTTAAAGAAAATCAGCCATGGGCTTACTGCATATTTTAATAAGTATATTAAATATACATAAATCCTTATAGCCATGTAATATTCCAAACACATATTTTAAAATATTATAAAGTTGGCCCATCAGTTTCCCCTGATGTCTAAAGTATAAGATGAAAAATGGGGAGCTTTAAATTCACTGAAATAATTATGTAATAAGAATGATGGGGACCTGAGGCCCTTTCTTCCCAAGTGCTCCAAAGTCTTTGCCAACAATCAATCAACCAATCAAGGAGTATTTATTGAGCAGCCACTGTTCAATTCCACACAATTCATCAAACATTCACAAAGTGCCTTTCTGGAGTTCTTCCGGGTTCTACCTGGTTGGTGCTGCTGACCTCCTCTTGTAGCTCCAGGCTCCTGTGCTTTGTAGCAGGCACGTGAGCTGCACTTTTACATCCTTTCCTGAGAATATTTGATCCGTGCCTGGTTCCCACACTATAGTCTCCACGGACAGAAATTCATGTTTATTTTGCTTGCCATGGTGTCAGCAGCAGCTAGTGCAGCATCTGGGAGATCATAAGCAGTGAACCTGGGGATGTATGGGTAACGTAGCCTTTTCAGGGAGATAGGCACAATGATATATAAGCTACGTAATGAGTCATTCAAGGAGGCAGGTAGAATCACAAATGACTGATAGACATCCGAGTCATGGCCAAAGGATGTGTCACAAGAAGCACATCCCTAGGCAGAGGGAAAACAAACAGAGCCGAGGAAACACCACAGAAGCTACTCTTTAAAGATAAGCAGGAAGAAGCCAGGCAGTGGTGGCACATGCCTTTAATCCTAGCATTTGGGAGGCAGAGGCAGGCAGATCTCTGAGTTCCAGGCCAGCCTGGTCTATAGAGCTAGTTCTAGGACAGCCAGGGCAACAAAGAACCCTGTCACAGAAAACAAAACAAAACAAACCAAAACAAAATCATAGACAGGAAGTAAACAGCAGAAGAGTTATAAGAAATATGTTGTAAGGAGAAAATTCACCAAGAAAGACATGAGGATCTAAAGCACAGGTTCCAAAGTACACAGGTCCCCTGGCTCCCTAAGGATCCCAAAATTCAGAGGACATCACGAAGGGAATCCTGTTTACCTAGGCTTAGAAATGCATGAGGAATAAAGTTGTCAAGTGGGAGACCGGATGATACCACAAACACTGGGGAAGTAGCCAGGACTGGTCCCTAGAGCTTACATCAGCCTCTACAGCTTTTCATCCTGGAGGAGCACCACACACACTGTCAGAGCCAAATCTCCATCCTCTCACTCTCCCCAAAGGAAACCACAGTCCAGGGAACTGAGTGGCTGGCCTGGAGGTATTTGAAAGAAAGAATACTCATCAGCGTTGATGGATGACTGATTGACTAACTGGTTGATCTTGAGATAGGGTCTTACTGCCAAGCATGTCCTCATCATAATTCCCCTGCCTCAGCCTCCTAAGAGCAGGGATCGCAGGCCTAAGCCAAGACCAAACAAACAGAAAGTTAACATTGGAGCTTTCAGGCTCTAGATCTGTCATTTCAATTCATCAGAAAACAAGTCAAAGGGTTACAGGAAGTAAAGTGAACATAGGCCACTTTTAAATGTCATAATTTTCTAGACAATATTCTGAACAGACCAGTCCATCTAATGTTAGTGTTCTGCACTCCTCAGAAGGCTAACCTGGGAAAAAAAAAAAAAAAACAAAACTGTAATGACTGGAAGTTAGTACTGCTGTGTAACTGCTAGTACTGTTAGGTCTCAAAAGTTTCACTCAGTACTTGTGGTTCCTTCCAGGAAGCCTCACCCCACCCTTTACCCTCAACTTCTCCCTCCTAGGGGCTGGGCTTATGTGTCCCTTCCCGCCAGCTCTGCTTTCTCATATAATTCAGCCATTTTGGCTACTAGCCTTCTTGGTCCACACACTGTCTTGGTTCTCTTGGCTTCTTGTTCTCCTGGACAACTTGTGGCCTCTTGGTCCTTGGCTCCCCCACCTTCTTTCTCTTTTTCCATCTGTGTCCTGCCCCCACAGCCTGGTTCAGTCAGCTGGCTTGGTTGAATCTGGACTCTCCCAAATGCCTATGACTGTTTTCTCCTTTATATCTAAAATAACCTTCTTAAACATACCTAGGAGGTTCCTAGAATCCCATTGTTCTGGTATATCTCCTTGGGAGGCCCTCTCTTCACATGTGGATCCAATGTATTGAATACTCCCTACCCCGAGGGTGGCCTGCTAGTGATCAGACTAGACCGGGAAGACACAGCCAGACCTACTTCAAGGCCAAGTCTACTGTTTCTGTACAACTCCCCATAAGAAGAGATATGGCAAAGAAGTAGCATGATTTAGTGAAAGCTGTGTGAATGGGCTGGGCTGAATGGCAGGGGTAAGGCAGGATGGTACAGTATTGAAAAACTAGCTCGTTCCTACCTTGGGATAAGCTGGCCACCAAAATACCACTAAGTTTTAGTCTGCATTTTCATCTACCTTTTCCTGAGTTGGTGACCCACCAATTAGCATCAGGCAGGGAGGGAGTTTTATGCAGGGAAGGGCAGATCAGAGAATAGCCATAAGAGATGCTCTCCCGTTCTTTCCCTGACTCCCAAGCCTTTTCCTACCCTGCACTCATCCCTTGACTTCTCACCATCATTTTCAGCATACTGAGGCTGGCTGTGATCTCCTGTTTTTTTTTTTTTTTTTTTTTTTTCTTCTGCTAATCCAAATGTCAGTTCCACAGGAAGACAATCGGGTAGGTCAGTGAGAAAAGGAGGAGCTTCTCTTTGCTGATTGTGATACAAGGATGAGAGCGAAGAGGAAACACCCTGGCTTCACACCCATGTCCCAAGAAAGGGGAGGAGGGTGGCAAGCCAGATCTCCATGAGGAAGGCTTGCTCAGACTTCACTAAAGTCACAGTTCCTCTTATTTGTATTCTGTTCTGAGACCATCTCTTTACTCCCTCGACGAGATAGGAAGAAGAAAGGGGCCTGGAAAGGGTCTCATGCAGACACTGTCAGGCACTTACTTGGGTAAACAGTACAGGCTGAGATAGCCCTGATTCCAACCCACTGTGTAATGAAAGTCTCTGTCTCAGAAGGGCATGTCTAGAGAATCTTGCAGCAGGCAGCTCTGGGAGTTTATTAAAAAGGGCCCATAGAGGTAACAGAAAGTGCAGTTCACTCAGGCACACACATTTCAAAAAGTGCCTCAGATAAGCTTTCAGAAGGGGAAAATAATTGTGTGCTAATTGGTCTGTTGACAGAGACCATCCTGCCTTCAGAAAGCCCTGATGCTTCTCAGGTTCATTAGCGCGTCCAATTTTCTATAACACCAGACTGTGCAAAGCATCATTCCAGTGAGCCTACACTCCTCCCCCATCTCTCACTTCCAGATTGCTACTGCCCTACCTGGGGGGCACCTGCAGTGCTGACAGCGGAGGAAAATGGCTTCTAATGGTGAGTGATAGGACTGAGCACAAAACACAGTGATGATGTGTGTGCTTAAAAGGGCTTCAAAGCGAATCACAGGCTGCTGTAGCTTTTCCACATCTCATACACTCACTCACACACACACACACACACACACACACACACACACACACACACACACACACTAGTGTATGTATGTATGTATGCATGCATGTATAATGGGGCTGTAAGAAACTCCCTGTTGTCTGTGGTCCAGCTGGCTTCTGACTGGCTCGATTCAGTCAGCTCATGGGCTTTTCGATCCCTCTGTACCAAGTCCTTCCATATCCTTCTGCCAAAAAGGTGAAGTATAACTATGAGCAACGCCCTTTCTCTTCTTCATGGTGCTGCTTCCATTTAGAATGTTACAAATAGATATATATGCATCTAGCCTTTCATGCTTTGCACAGCTTTCCTTTGGATCGTATCACCTGGCATCACCCAACACTACAGCGGAGTGGGGAAGGGATGTCAATCATCATCTTTACCACCATGTCGAATCTGAGTGCAGTAACTAATTGGTAGAGATACCAGCCTTATTATCTAGAAGGGTTCCAGAGACTTCCTGAGGTGCATTTGCCCTTTGGTTTTGGTCACCAAAAAGTGACCTGTACAAGGCAGGGGGAACAGTGGCTGTGGTTAGGGCACAAGGATCTGGAAGCATTTCCATATTTTAGAAATGGGTGTGGCCATATTAGCTGAAAGTCCTGGGCAATGGTAAGTGAAGTGGGTGGTAGCTCAGATTATGGAAGAGACAAATGGAATTCAAGGACGCCTCAAGGTTGTAGAAATAGAAGGCGTCAGGGCTGAGAGCCAAGTAGTCTCACTTCGCTTGGTTTGCTTCCCTCTACACTGTAGAGCCTAATTTCACCTCTCAAGCATTTTATTGAGCACCCTGCCACATGCCAGATGCTGTAGAGGGACTTGGAGCTATGTGCATGCACTAGAGGCCCTACTGCTCTAAGGCCTACTGTTATGGTGGATGGGGGGGGGGGGAAATAGGCATGCAGAGACGGAGAGTAATGGGGCAAGTCCTGTCTCTAGAGCATGCACTCTTGAGGGCAAGGCATACAGCACAGAATAACGCTTACTGGTTCTAAGAGAACAAAAGCCAGAGGGGCAGGGTACCTGCTTTTCTACATGAATATGAAGATGTTACCAAGGAAGAGTGAAAAGTAGCCACATTTGCGTCCAGAAACAACACAGGCAGCTGTGCCAGGACGCACCCTACAGCACATCCTCATAGCTAACAGTCCTCTGCGCAGCAGCGCTTGCCGTCTGCCTCCATCTACTGAGCATGCCTTAGCAGTAGCCTTGCTTGGGCTCCATGTCCTTTGTTACCCCATCACTGGGTGCTGATGAATGGAGTGAGGGCTCTGCTCAGCTCCTCTGCCTCCGTGTGCCTGTTTTGAGCTAACTGCAGCCTCACTTCCCTAGGGATGTAGTTTACCCTGCAGCCTTCTCTTATGGTGGCTGTTTTGTTTCCATTTCTCATACTCCTGACCACGGAAATGAGGCAGGTTCCTGCACTGTAGTTATTCCTTATTTTCTATCCATTTCTGGCTCCCGGAAGCCAGAATCATCCTGCAATGGACCCCACTGTCACCCTTGATATTTCTTTTCTTGTTCCACTTCTTGACTCACAGGGTATTTACAGTAGGGGGCTTCCTATTTTTACCACCATGAGCCTGTACCATTCCCAGTGATCTCTGCATCCAGGCATATAATCCTTTCACCTTTGCTCCTCTTAGAAACCTGGCTGGGTTACCTTGCCTCCTCATAGTTTACTCTCATCTTAATCACCACACCCAAAATACGTCCTAGCCTTGACTGGCAACTGCATTTCCTCTATAACTGCAATGAAAACATCATATCACACTTCCTCCAGTCTCTTCACAGACCAGTTTTCAACCTGAGGGTCAGATGACCCGACGGTAGCAAAATTACAGTTAGGAAGTAGCAATGAGAATAATTTTATGGTTGGGGGTCACTGCAACATGAGGAACTGTATTAAAGGGCTGCGAAGGCAGAGAACCGCTTATCATCTGACTTTCAATCTTTGCACTTTCATCCTTAACTCCTTTCTCTCAGTGGCTGACTTGGAACCCTGAATCTGCAGGTGCATTCCTTGGTAAGTAATCCTAACACCTTTGCTGGTTTCTTTCACCTTGTCCACATATGCGCCTTGGTTGAGTCTAACTCTCCATCTAGTGCATGCCTGCTGGTATGTGGACCAATCAACACAACTGATAGACCTCACCCGACTCCAGCGGTTCTTCTCATGCTGCCTTAATGGCTATGAATACCATGTGGGTCCCTAATACTGCTCTGAAATTCATTATGTGTATCTGCTCAACAGAATCTCCTCCCTCCTGCCTCTGAAATGACAACTTTTTTTTTTTTCCACAGCAGGGTCTTTGCTTCTTGTTTAGTTGAGGGAAAAGAACCAATCAGAGAGGAAAATGCACATTTTCCCACATCCTACTATCCTTGAATAGGTGTCCTCACACATTCGACATTGCCCCTGACACGAAGAGTAGAGTGCTTCTACGTGAGGCCCATCCTTTAATTCTCACATAAAATGTCAACACTGTCATTTAAGGACCGTGCCCTCAAGATTATCTCCTCTCTCTCCTGCTTCATCACTTTATCACCTTTTGCCAAATTATTTTACTAATATATTAGCGAGTTAGAATATTTTTCATTAGGGAAAACAAAAACCACTTTGTGGATCTCACCTCACTCTCCAATAAGTTCCTATTCTTCTGGTTTCCTTTCTCAGCGAAAGAACGGTTCCTATTCACAACCAGTCCCTCAACTTGTTTCTTATCTTGGATCTTTTCCACTTAGCCATTTGTACTCTTCATGTCACTATACCTGTCCTCTGAAGGATGTCAGTTACCTCCAAGGCACCAAGTCCTGCTGCAAATCTCTACCTCCACTGTCATAACCATCAAGGGTTTCACACAGCTACCAGTGGCTTCCTTGATGAAATACTTTCTTTGGATGGCTTTGCGATCCCACATCATTTATCCACCTGCTGCTCTGCTCTATTTCCATCTTCTTGGCCATATCCTCCTCATCTTCCCATTTCTGAGTGCCAGGTGTGTCACACTCACCTGGGAGCTCGGCTCACTCCTTAAGCACGTTCCTCTCATTTCCTCTGTAATTCTTCATGCTAACTGCCTGCACGATCATTTTTCTATCCCAGACCATGGCACATTTCCTGAAACCTTGGAGTTTATGTCCAATATCCCATTAGATTCCTTTCCTTGGATGTCTAACTGGAAAATCAATCAACATGTTGGTATCTAAAACTAACCTCTTCCTTATTTCTCCTACAGATCTGTCCCTTGCTGCCACTGTTATTCTTCTCAGTAATGTAATCACTATTCCCTTGATTCCTCAGGTCAAATTATCTTGCATCTAATTTTGATTTCTTTCCTCTGCTCTATCACCTCACCTGTGTGTTCTACCCCTTTACCATCAAACGATGTGCCGCCATCTTCATCTAAGACATCACACGTCCCGCTGTACTCCCCACACTGCGCTGGGCCACCACTCTAGCCCACTCCTTTCTGTGTTTCCACAGTCAATGATGCCCTGCAACTTCCACAGCTTTGTCTCTCATTTCTCTGCTTTGCTGACTCCATATGACGCTTACCCCCTTCCTTGGTCCTCTGGGCCATATTACCACAACCTCCCCTTGTTCTTGCTCTACAGATTACCTTTGCCCAGGATACACAAATCACCCAAGTTGTGCAGGCATTCCTTCAACCCCATAACACTCTGTCTTCTAACTCGGTTTCATTTTTCGTATTATTATCCATCATCTCTCATTATCTCTGTATTTAGATGTATATATACTGGTCCACTGTTTGAACATAGCTTTACGAGTGTAGAAACTCTTATGTTGTGTTCTAGTTATCTACAATAGTATCCGACATGCGTTACGTACTCAAGAAATACTTATTGAATTAACTGTGAGTAAACAAGATATTCTTGCTATTTCAGATGATAAAAAAAACCATAACGTTGATGTCTATATATCTTACTTATACTAAGAATTAAAAAACATTAGCATTCCCCAAAGTGTTAGTACTCATCCAAAGTGTTATTGGTTATTAACCATAGGACCCTGAGTGGAAATGTCCAACAGGTTAATTACAGCAGGGGGGTTAGAGAGTAGAGCCACTAAAATCACAATAACTATGGATATCCCTTAAAGATATTCTTGAGTCATGGGATTCTGTCATGCTCCTGCTAAAACTCTTCCCTTGCCTGCTGTTGAAATTCTTTTCTGTGGCCATGTCACCCAGCTCCAGCCTGCTTCAGAACCTCACCTTGTACGGTGTCTTTCCGTTTACCTCTCTGCCCTCGCAGGACTCCTCTAAGTGCCTGCTGACTTGGGGCCTTAGCATTTAGCGTTAAAAAAAAAAAAAAAACAAGTCTACCTCAGTAGGCTACACAAATAGGCTTCTCATCTTTCAGGTCTGATCCTTACAGGGTAAACCTCAACATGACCTTCCTAACCAATCTAACTAATTCTAGCCGGCTCCTCCCCCAACCCTAGAAAATATATACCACATCTTTAAATGGCTATCTGAAATCACCCTTCCCTTACTGAGTAGCTCACCCCCCCCCCCACACACACAGTAACACTAGAATGCAGTCACAACCATCTTTGACGACAGCAAATCAGTCTGTCGGCTGGATGCTCCTTCAGAGGCTGGGTGATGCAAGCACTGGTAAGGACTGGCAGAGATGCCACCAGAAAGCTGCTCTTTCCCTTTGCTCCTAAGGCCTGGCTGATCTGGAGCTCTAAGGCTCTGGCTTCCCTGCCAGGCCCTGGCAGGCTGTTACCTTGATGGCCCCTGTGGCTATTTGGATGTGGTGCAGCCGCCTCAGCGTGCTCTCTCTGTCGATGAAGTAGGAGGCTGCCAGCTGGTGCAGGGTTTCGAGGGACACAGCCGAGCTGTTCCCAATGGCTCCGATGACAGGGCCACCTCCCGGTGTTTCTGCCTTTCTGCTCAGTTTCCTCTTGTCCACGAAAATGGTCAGGGACTCTTCTCCTATAACGAAAACATGGGCTCGTTAGTGAGGCTTGTCAGCCCCAGAATGCCGCACCATTAAGAACCTACAGCCCTCAGGCAGGGCAGATCTGAGCTAAGAGAGAGCACTGCCCCTGCTGTGGGCCTCTCCCCACCCTTTCCACTTTGAGAGCTCTCTCTTCAGGCATGTGCACAGGGTCACAAGCCTGGGAAGCTCTCCTTTCTTAGCTCTTAAAGCCTCCCAAAGCTCACCCCTCAGCAGCAGGTCCACTTAACATCCTCTATTGATCTCCATTGCAGGCAATCTGACTCCAAGGGGGAGACACAGTCCTCCCCTCTCAAGTTGTTTATGAGAAGCCGCATGGCTATCACTGCTTCCAGGGAAAGGGCAAAAGCTTTGAGGCTATAAGCCTCTTCCCTCTCCATCAAACAATCACCACCTACCACATGCTGGCAGCAGGCCCCAACCCCGGGGGAGCTGCGTTTTGTCCACTGCACACCTAACTAGATGTTATGATAAACCCTGCTTTCTTCTTCCCATAGCTGGGAAAACTCTTGTGATCTGTGCTTGCCTTCTGATCCTGTCCAGAGTCCATGCTCCATTTTGCACAGCCCAGCTCCCCACCCTTGTGCTACCAGAGGGAGATTCACCAAGTTTTGTTGGAATTGTGGTTTGGCCGTTTACCAATTTTCACGGTGGGGAAGGGTCAGTGACTCAATGAACATCTATCTATTTCTGTGCCTATAGACCTGACATTTGTTGCCACAGCTAAGAGTTAAGATGTGGAGAGGTCTCCGGGTTAGACGGCTAGTCAAAATAAAAGTAGGAGCGCCCCCTGCTGGTATATACTTAGTAGTGTGTCCCCAAGCCTCTCTACCCTGCACCCCCATCCCTCGGGATGACACTTGCAAGAGAATAGAAATGTTCTAGGGTTGATTTTGGTGCACACAGAATACAGTATTCTCTGGTGCGCCAGGAAGAAATCATTTCCCGGGTAATAATAAGCCAAGAAGGAAAAAAGACGGAGGGAGATATTCAAAGATCATACAAGCGAATTTCAACAACGGAACGACCAGTTGGCTGGGGTTGAGGGAGCTGCTTACCTCCAAGAGTGGCTGAAAGTAAGAAATGAGTGCCGTACTTTTTGATGAGGTTTTCAGTAACCTGCTGCAGGTTGGGTCTCCTTCCAAGGAGGCGGATGTTGCGGACAAACTCGGGGGCGAGAGGCAGGGGCAAACTGAAGAAGTCTTTCCTTTCTAGGGCCAAGTTGTTCACTTTCCATCGGGCAAACTCCCTGCAGGGAAAGCCAAGACGTGAGAATCCAGAGAAGAAGCCCACTGTGTTTCAGAACAAGAAGTGTGAGGTGTGAGATTAGTAAGGTCTCCCTCTGCCTCCTCAAGTCCCCTTCTCCCAGGGTGGAGAACCGGTGCTAGGAAAAGGATTCTCTCTTGGCTAATCCTTTCCGGTCTGAGAAGCTAACCTCCACCATAGCTTCTCCACCAAAGCTTCTCGGCTTTCCTATTGGACAGTGCTAGCTCAACATCTTTCCAAGGGAGTCGCCAACCCCCACAGCGAAGCAGAAAAAGCACACGGGCAGTGATTTGCGGAGAACTAACCCAGCCACAGCTGTCTTATGACGGGGGAGGGCCATCACTGAGCTTCAGTTGCTCACTGATAAAAATGGAAGGCTGTTCTAGGAATAACTGTGTTTTAACATTTGGGGCTCAGATCCCATCATACCTTTCAATAGGATTGCATTCCCAATACTTGTTTATGCAGCTTGTATCGATTGGTACCGCATCAGAAATTAAAATTGAGAAGATTTAAGGTATCTATCCAATATTGCGTATGAAGTTAACAGTAATAAAGCCATTACAGATAACCAAATCAATGTGTTTTATGACAATAACTATATGTACTGAAACAAAACAAATTTGGCAAGGAGAGCACATTTGCTTTGTGACTTTGTAAATCTTTCATATCAGCTTGACAGAACAGTTTACATCTCATATTCAGTTTGTCATCATAATTGTGGACTCTTGAGCGTGGGACCACACTAAAGAAATGGCTATTTCTTAAAAGTTACATATAACACGGTGCATATCAATAAACTTTGTGTTCTATGCATTGAAATCCAAGGTTTTATATTTCCATTTGAATAGATCTTCACAACATACACTGGGCATCCTGGACATATCTGTTCCCTGTGATATGCAGCTCTTTACCATTCTGGCTCTTTATAGCCCAGCACCAGCACATAAGACTAATTAATCCCACCACCAACTTCATTACAGATAGTTTTATTTTTGTTAATAAATACCATCAGTTCTCCTTTTAAAAGCTAGCTTGGTTTTTTCTTTCTTTTTTTTGAGAAAATGTCTGCCAAACACTTAACTCTAAATAACTATAGGTTGTCTGCTGCTCTTGTTTTCAAGAAAAATAGAGCTCTGGGGGAAAAGTTGCTTGCTCAGCTTGCAGCTCAACCACATATGTACTTTCCCTTGAGGTCACATAGTTCTTCAGTGGTTTCAGACACGCCCTGTGTGTGCTTCCTATTTCATTGCATGGGACATTGAAGAGACATGTATCCAAGGTCAATGATAGATGCCGTTAATAAGCTGTATCACTTTAGGGCATTCTTAAATAAAGCTGGCATATTCTGCTTCTCTGTGTCTCTGTCTATGCATGTCTATGTCTCCCTATCTCTGTGCATGTCTGTCTCCCCTCACTCTGTGTGGGGGGCTTGCATTCAGTTCACTTGTATAATGATGAACAGCACATGATTACCAGATTCCTTTGGGGTAAATATCTTTATTCCAAATAACATATCAGTTTTATATGGCACCCCCCCACACACACATACCCTTTCAGTGCAAATGTCACATGGGTCCTGAAAGGAACCAAGAAGACCATGTCTTAGGCAGCCTGCTTCAGGAGATGTCTGGGTTTCTTTACAGACACAACCGGGGTTTTACTCTTCATGATTTGCTCCTCACTGACACATTAGAATCTCAAAAAGGAAAGACTTCTAGACGGAACTTTTGTCTTGAGATGAAAATTAAATAATTATAGGAAATGGGCTTTTCACCCCCCCCCCCCCCCATACTACACTGGTACAGGCTCCTGTCTTAGGATTCAGTAAGAGATACAGGCCTCACAGATCCCCTATCCATCCCAACCCTGCTCACTGTGAAAGTGCATAACCTTGGTCTAATATTTCCTTCAACTCCAAGGAATGACAATGATGGAGCTGCAGAAGATGAAATAAGCAAAAATAAGTACATGAGAACCCATGCCTAATCTGAGCCTATGGAAGTTCCTCCCCACATCTAAGATAGAGGCTCAGAAGGAAAGGAGGAGCGTATGTCAAACATCACTAGCCGAACAAAAGAAAATGGTGACTAATAATTCGTGGTTTCAACTTAGTCTTTCAAATTTTTCATTGTGTGGCTTTATTTATCGAACTAGGCAAGTTAATAATAATATATCATCAGTTATTTCTTTTGTGGAGGAAATGCTAAACTTTAATTAAAGTACAGGGTATTTGTCAAAAGCAGTTGCTATCCCAAATCCCACTACAGGGTAAAGAACAGTTGCCTAAACTCATTTGTAGATGGCTGGATGGAAACCAGTATCCTCTCATTGGCTAGAGGATAATTACACTGATGAATCATAAAATCAAATTACTAAAAACAGAAACAAAATAGAATAAAAAGAAAATCCTTAGGGTCATCAAACCCAGCCTTTCTGCCTTGGGATGAACTACACATAGCCTTCATTAACGAATCCTTTCTATCCTTTCATGTTCTCTTTCTAGATGCAAAGGTGAAGAGAAGACATTCTTCCATTGTCCGTGATTTCTTACAATGGCCCAAGCCCATCACTTTTCTGGCCATCTCATTCAGAAGATCTTCTTCCCTCTCTCTCTCCCATTTATGCCCTCAGACTTCTTACCACCTGATACCATCAGGTTTTTCTTCTTCCTTCTGCTCCCATTAAAACAAAAACTTTACTGCGGCAGGATTTCTTCCCTGCTATTAACTATCTCCAGCATTAAAATCATATTGGCCAGTCTTACAAAAGAACAGTAATAGAATTCAACACAATTTTGTTGAGTAACTGAAGGAGACATTCGTCATAGCTTTCCCAATTCACTAGTTTTCAAATTAATAGAAAATTGATTAAAATAGTTATAGGAAAATAACCTAGGAAGCAACAACCAATTAGTGATTGATCTGACATGAAATGAAACATTCTAAATGTATGTGGGTCAGGAAGCTAAGATTTATGTGTGCTCCTATATGGAGCACGATTTTGTTCATTTTAAAGATATAGACCAAACCAGGCATGATGGTGTTTATCTGCAATCTCAGTACTCAAGAGGTAGAGGCAGGAAGATTGCTACAAGTATGAAGCCAGCATAGGCTATCTAGTGAGCTCCAGGCTAGAGAGGATTACATAGCTAGACCGTTATACTGCTTGGGTCCTTAAACACTGTCTGCAGCAGACATCAACAACTTCTTGCGACTGTCCACTGTCCAAAATCAAAGCCTAGCGCATGAAAAATCTCTCAATTGAGACTGTGTGTTTTACACTCAGATGATAATCAATATCTCCATTCCTCTACAGTGAATCTGGTAATTTCTACCATTTGTTACGTTAAAGATTGACCAAAGAAGCAACAAGCTTAGAGTTATGTACTTTTGCTCAGTTTGACATCAGCCTGTAAAAGTCTGTTTTAATGCAAGTCAATAGCTAAAGAATATTTTACTTTATAAGGAAACCGGAGCTCAGAAAGCTAAGTAATTGCTTAATGTTACACAACTGGAGAGAGACCTATATGGTTGGAAGTGGAGGAAAAGCTCGAGTTCTATTTGCCAAACTTCTCCTGAGGCAGGAGGATTGCCATAGAGACCAGATCAGGATCAGGTAGAGTTAGATCCTGTCTCCAAAAGATGGAAAAAGGAGAAGGGAGGGAAAGGAATGGAGGAAGAAAGAAGGGAGGAAGGAGGGGAGTGAGGAAGGAAGGGAGAAGGAAGGAAGAAACTGAGAGGAGAAAATACTCTTTAGAGTCCCAAATGAGGTTGCTCATAGCAGGGTAAATCAGATAAATAAGTTTTGACACCTTAGGACTTGCTCTGTTGTTTTAAGCCTTTGACATCTTTGTAATCCACTTGTAGCAGATGCAGATTCCAGCATGCACCTTGGCTGAGAAAACCAGGAAACAAAGATGCCACAATTTGCCTAAAAGAATATAACCAGCTGGGAGCAGAACCTGAGCAAAAGAGCACAGTGGCCTTCCCCAGGGTGATAATGACAATAACAAGAATCTAACCTCAAAAATGTTAAGGGAGCCACACAATTAGAGGGAGACCAAGCTTAAACCTCAGAGCTGGTGGCTTAGGTCAACACTACTTTCCTTTTGTACAATTCTGTCTTGCTTTGTGTCCCTGAAGTACTCCTGGAACTCCAGTCTCTTTAGAAAGAGTGTCATTCCCCAGAACATTCCACTTCTTTAATTATCTAAACAAAAGATGAATTTACTATATATTCAATATAGTGTACCATATATACTATGGCAAAACCATTTTTTTTTAGGATTAAAGTGGTTTCATTATGCCATTTGTGGAAGAAACTGAGATTGAGAAGGAAATCAAGTTCAGATAGAGAACAGCATGGGAAGAATCACAAAGACCTTTGTCCAAGTTCCATGGGTGCTCAGGAAATTATAACACAGACTAATAAATGACCTAGAAAAGTGAGTGGTACTGTCTTAGAAAGCATTTTATGAGCAAACAATAAAAAATGATGGCTAATATTGATGAATTCTTACCATGTGCTAGGCATTCTAAGTATCTTATAAGAGTTATCTATAAAACACCTCTATCAGTGGAAAACATAGTTATATTCATCTTGTGGCTAATGAAATGAAGACAGGACATTTTAAATTACCCAGCTGGTGACAGCCAGTAGGTGGCAGAATCAGAGTTGAAACACTGGCTGTTTTGCCGGCTCTTGTTTGACCACTGTCATACAGTATCTCTGCCCGTGAAAAGCAAAGAATGGGTTGTAAAATTGTGAGGGAAGGTATGGAGGGAGGAGGAAGGGAGAGCTTTGCTGGGAAAATAATGCATAAGGATAGGGACTTAATGTGAGGCATTCCTCTAGAGAAGCTCACTGGATAAAGAATTCATACAATGGGACTATATTTTCAAAACAGGAAAAACACACAGATGCCAAGTCTGGTTCTTGTCATCACAGTGAGGGTATTGCTGTGTCTTGGATGTGGTCTGG